CTTGGCATGGGGAGTAAGGATGGGAGAAGCCACAGGAGAGGTGGGCCCCAGGGACCAAATGAACCTTAGCTGCCTCTGAGGACATTAGCAGGACCGCTGGGCACCTGGCGGGCGGGCACTGGTGGGGGCATGGGTGACACCTCTGGGCTCCAGGCAGGTGGGAAGGCGCAGCCCTGCTTGCTGCTCTCTGACGTAAGGCAGCAGGAAAGCAAGGGCTTCTGAGTTTCTGCACGTATGGCCCTGGGAAGGCACCCTGTTCTGACAGGGTTTGCCTGAAAGCAAGCCGGTGCCCGGTGAGGGAGGGCTCACGTGACTCCTGCTCAGGTGCTTGTTGAGACACTGAACAGCTCCCAGGAGTTTTCCGGAATCTCTGGGTAACCAGATACCCTCGCCAGCTTGGGCTGAGGAAACTAATCCCCTGCTGGGGCGGCTGGAGGGCAGCGCGGAGCCCAGACCCCAGGGCTACAGCCGGGAGTGCAGACCTGAGGGCCAGGGCCTCGGCCTCCACATCGCTTTTCTCACCCGGGCGCTCAGGCCGCACCAAGGACGGGTTCTGGGCTCAGACAGCTGGGCCGTCAGCGGGGCCCGGGGACAGTGCTCGGACGCTGGTTGGTTCCAGCCTCGCAGCAAGCGGGTCAGTCGCCGAGGCCATGCTGACTGCGTGCAACTCGGGCTTCATCTAACACAGAACATCCCACTCCGCCACACCCAGGCCCTGGGTGCCCCCGCAGGGAGCTCAGGCCTTGCCCTGGCACCCCTGAGGGAGAGGCCTGGAAGGCTTTTCCCACCTCCAGCCGTGCCAGCGAGGCGCGAAGAGCAGGCGGCGGTCAGTGCAGGCTGAGCACAGGGCCAGGCCACAGGGCATCCGCTCGGGCCTCCCTGGTGCCCAGGATGGAGGTGCAACAGTGAGTGTGATCTCCCCTGGCTCCCGGCAGGCTGAGCAGAAGGATGGCTCAGGCTGACCCACAGGAACCTGGGAGCTGGCACGGCTGCCCGGCCAGGGCTCGGCCATCCCCCTGAGCAGCCCCTGTGGATAGGAAATCGGGGCGGGGGGAAGGGAGGACTGGGAGGGCTACCCTGTGGCCCGGGAGGGGGACCCACAGTGCCCACTGGCTACAGTGGCAGGTGGGGGTGGTGGAGGGATGACGGTTCTACTCCGTCACCCTGTCCCACCTGCTCTCGGTCCCAGGAGCCCCATCTCGCAGGCCCGCCTCTGGCTCCCAGGCCAGGTGGCCATTGGGAGGCCCCTGCAGGGGACAAAACCAGAGAGAGGAGCAGGACTCACCCACGTTCGCTCCCACGCACCCCTGCCAGCAGTCACACTCCCACCGCGGCTCCAGCTCCCACTCATGAGCGCCGTCTCTCTGGCACCTGCTGGCAGCCCAGCCCTGGCCCCACAGCCCCTCCTGTCATCTGCCTACCTGGGCATGGCAGTGTGTCCTGCGGTTGCTCATCTCTGGTTGCCTGCGTCCCACCACCTGTTCCCTGTCCCTAAGTCGTGAATCTCAGCCAGCACCTATCACTGCGTGTGGGACAGTGACCGGTGCAGTCGGTGGGGCACCTATAACAAGCTCCCGGGGTGCTAATGCGGTTGTCCTGCGGCCACACATTGGGAAGCAGGGACCAGGGAGATTTGTATTTCCCTGAAACAATGGGTGACAGAGGTCAGACAAATTGCCCTGTTTAGAGAGGGAGACAGACCAACCAAACGACAGCCACTACATGGCACCGCTGGTGCCGGCCAGGAGGATGCGCAGGAGACGGTGGGTCGCTGGCTCTGGGGACGGCTTCCTTGCAGCTCGGCGGGTGTTGTTTGACCCGAGGCCCAGAGAAGGGGCTGGGGACACAGGGACAGTGTGGATTCTGTGGTCTGAGAAGAGGCCCGCCGGGCTAGAGCACAGGGAGGACTCTTGGACTGGGCTTCTCCGAAGCTCAGGTCCCAGGCCCCAAGCTGGCTCCTGCACCCAGCAGGAGGGCCTGCACCTGAACTTGATCCCCTGGGATGCGGCAGCCCCGCAGGACAGCAGGGGCCCAGCACATAGACACGGAGCTGCAGGCCTCTGCTGCTGACCTGTGCTGTTTCAGTTTCCCCAACAAACCCCTTTCCTAACCCCGTATACCAGGGACACTGCAGTTTTCCCTCTCTAACCCCGTATACCAGGGACACTGCAGTTTTCCCTCCCTACCCCCGTATACCAGGGACACTGCAGCTTTCCCTCCCTAACCCCGTATACCAGGGACACTGCAGCTTTCCCTCCCTACCCCCGTATACCAGGGACACTGCAGCTTTCCCTCCCTACCCCCGTATACCAGGGACACTGCAGCTTTCCCTCCCTACCCCCGTATACCAGGGACACTGCAGCTTTCCCTCCCTACCCCCGTATACCAGGGACACTGCAGCTTTCCCTCCCTACCCCCGTATACCAGGGACACTGCAGCTTTCCCTCCCTACCCCCGTATACCAGGGACACTGCAGCTTTCCCTCCCTACCCCCGTATACCAGGGACACTGCAGCTTTCCCTCCCTACCCCCGTATACCAGGGACACTGCAGCTTTCCCTCCCTACCCCCGTATACCAGGGACACTGCAGCTTTCCCTCCCTACCCCCGTATACCAGGGACACTGCAGCTTTCCCTCCCTACCCCCGTATACCAGGGACACTGCAGCTTTCCCTCCCTACCCCCGTATACCAGGGACACTGCAGCTTTCCCTCCCTACCCCCGTATACCAGGGACACTGCAGCTTTCCCTCCCTACCCCCGTATACCAGGGACACTGCAGCTTTCCCTCCCTACCCCCGTATACCAGGGACACTGCAGCTTTCCCTCCCTACCCCCGTATACCAGGGACACTGCAGCTTTCCCTTCCTAGCCCCGTATACCAGGGACACTGCAGCATTCCCTCCCTAACCCCGTATACCAGGGAGACTGCAGCTTTCCCTCCCTAACCCCGTATACCAGGGACACGGCAGCTTTCCCTCTGCCTGCCTCCACATTAGGGAATTTCTGTGGTAAGAGCAATGGAAGCTGCATGGGGACTGTGATTCCAACAGACCCCCAGCTGATAGGGGCCGCCGTGTAAAGGGGGGGAGCATGGAGAGCGGAGCTGTGTGTGAGTGGCAGCCCCGCTCTCCGCTGGGGGTCCCCAGGAGTGTAGCTGTGCCAGGCACCAGCAGTGGCTCTGGGTGCTGAGGCCAGCCTGCCCTGGGCCACTGGTGCTGGGATGATGGACCCGACCTGCGTGTGAGGGAGTGGCACTAACTGGGGGCGGGGGGGGGGGAGTGGCCTTTGAGGATCTGAAGACCCTTGCACTGGAATTCTGGATGGAGTGGGGCTCATGGGGCTGTTTTTAAATTTGTTTTAAAATAATGTCTTTCATAAGAGTTTATTTGAGCCAAACTGACAACATGATGGAAAGCAGGGTCGCCAGTGCCGTGTCTCAAGGGGGCAGAGGGGCGGAGGGGCGGGTCCGCAGCCCCAGTCGATGCTCTGGAGGAGGCTGGAGGAATGCCAGCATCGCTGCTGTGAGGGCAGGGTGCAGCAAGGACACTGACAGGTGGGGGTGCTGTTCTCTGAGCCATTAGCGTTGCATTGAGGCCTGTGGCGCTCTGGGCACGCGGCCCTCCTGGCAGGCCCTGAGGAACAGCCTGGCCGCTCCACCTGCGTTCCCCCTGGTGTCAGGTTGGAAAGCGGGCGGGCGTGTTGGCCGGAATTGCTCCCCGCTGACATTGGTAGTTAAGTGCCCACATTGCAAAGCCTGCGGCTGGCAGTCCGCATGGGGCTAAAGGAGAGGAAGGAGAGCCGGCGGCTCAGCCTCATGCACCACCCGCGGGCCCCACCCTGTTCCCGAGACCTGGAGCCGCAGGGAAAGCACATCTGAGCCGAAGGTGCCCTGTGGGCACAGCCACCCGCGCCCAGATCGTGGCTCTAGGATAACTGTGAAGACCGGGGACCCCGGAAGGGGAGAGGGCATAGCTCTGCACTGAGCGCAGGACCGGCTCCCAAGTAGGACGTTTCTGGAAGCAGCAGCCCGGGAAGTTGTGCTCAGCGTCCCCCTCTCCAGCTCTGGGCTCCACTCCTGCTGCCTCCGCCAAGCGGGACCGCATGCCACCCGGCTCCCTCCGTGTCGGACATTCCCTTACTTGGGGCAGGACTACAGGCCAGGGGAGCTCCCAGGCCTCTGCCTACTTCCCGTTCTGCTTTACATCTGAACTTCAGTAAAGAAATTTATTAGAAACAACAAGCAAACATGCTCCATGACCCGATCTCCCCATGCCAGGCCTCTTCATATAGATCCTGGCTCATCTCAGCTCCTTCATGCGAATGGTGGCCAGCCTGGTTCCTGCCAGGAGGGGTGAAGATGGGATGGCTCCTGTGGGCTGGGTGCGAGGGCAGGGCACCCTGGGCACAGGCGGAGGCTGGTTCACTTGCCCCCTGGACAGCACTGGGGTTTGGGGTGGAGGCTATTGATGAGCTCCGGGAAGAAAGGGAATGGTCAGAGGGGAGGACAGGGCCTCTGGCCCAGTGTCCAGAGCCTAAGCCTGGAATCCCCTGAAACGCACACATTCACACTGACACACAACCTCATACACCCTCACACACACGCACATTCACATTGACAGAACCTCATACACACACATTCACACACACCCTCACACACGCACACATTCACACTGACACACAACCTCATACACCTTCACACACGCACATTCACACTGACAATCATACACACACATTCACACACACCCTCACACACGCACACATTCACACTGACACCTTCATACATGCACAAACACACACCTTCACACACCATACATGCACGCCCACATTCACATGACACCCTCTTACACACACACACTCATGCTGTCCTCAGCAGGGACCTGTGATGAGGGCAGTCTCACGGAGCAAGTGCGCGTGTGCACTCCCAGCCCCGCTGCTTAAAGGTGGGGACAGGCCGTGGAGCTGAGTCTCCAGGCGGTGACACTCCTCCTGTGTGCGTCACTGCACACGGAGCTGCCAGCCCCGCTGGCTACAGGAGCGGCACCTGGCAGACTGGCAGGAAGGAGCTGGGGAACGTCGGGACATCCTGGGCTCCCGTGCTTTTGGCTTTCCTGTGAGCTCAAGAAAAGACCACCCACCTCAGGATGAACCCTCCCTCAGGACAAAGAGGCCCCCTGGGCCCAACCCGGGAGCCTGGCTGCGTGGCCACCCCAGTCTCACCCAGCAGCACCTCCAGCGTGGACCCCCCTCTGCCCTCCAGCCCCACGGTAAGCTGGGTGAGCGCCTGTGGGCACACGACCTTCCTCCCCTGTTCTGACCCCTCCTTCGGACACAGGGTTGTAGGGAGGAGAGCGGAGAGGCCTGTGCCTTGCTGGGAGTTGTGGGCGTGTCACTGGGCATCTCTGAGCCTGCTCTGCAGAGTGGCCTCTGGAGAGAGCGGGCACCGGCTTTCCTGGAGGAGAGCACCGAGGACGAGAAAGCCTGGCCTGAAGGAAGGGGCTGAAGGGCCACACCTGCCCCTGGCGGCCCCCCTTCCTGAGGAGGGCTGGCTGCCCACGGACCCTCCACAGAAGCAGGCTCACTCTGGGCGACTGGGTTTATCCAGTGAGGGAGGCAGGCGCTAGGTGTGCTCTGCTGCCCCCATCATTCTAGCCAGAGTCCAGTCCACGCCCACAACTGGGGAGGGCCAGGGTACCCTTCGGACCTGGGATGCGGCCTCGGGCCTGGACGGGAGGGGATGGCTCCTGTAGCCACAAAGGCCAGAGCAGGATGGAGACTGGACCAGCCCCGGAAAGGAGTTGGGGGGAGGCGTCTTTAAATCTCTTCGCACTGGCCTCCCTGCAGATACCCAACACCTCCATCTGTGCCATCTTACCCAGTTATACCCGGGTGGGGGGGCAAGCCTCTTCTCGGAGGCCCTGGAAAGGGGGTCCGCCCGCTCCACCACCCCCGAGCCGAGGGCCTGGAATACCACTGCTAACTGCTTGAGCACCTGGAGCAGCCTCATACAGCAGAGAGGGGCCACCTCAGAGTTGGCTCTGCCTTCTCCCCACGGAAAGGTAGAGGCATCCTAGCCATGTCCCGTTGCCAGGCGTGTGCCAATCTGTCTTTCCAGCCTCCACGGGTGATTGGAGCCCTCCTAGGAGCCCGATGCCCTGTGTCATGTATGAGAGTTTGGGCTTGACTGTAGGGAGACCCGCATTTCCATTGTAGCCAGCCCCTTGCCAGCTGAGTGGGGGAGGGACCCTGCACGGTGAGCTTACGGCTCCCGCCCCGCCCTCTGGGAGCCCTAACCCTCTCTTCAGGGCGATTTGAAGATGACAGGATAACATGATGCCCTGTTTCTCCGACTTTCTCCAGGCAGCCGAGGCTCAGGCTGCGGCCTGGGTCTCCTTCCCCACCGTCGACGTTCCAGCCCACGCCCACTACACCCTGGGCGTAGTGATCCTGCTGGTGGGCCTCACAGGGATGCTGGGCAATCTGACAGTCATCTATACCTTCTGCAGGTGACTGACTGGTGGGGTTGGGGCCTGGTCACTGAGGGTAGCCTGCCACGCAGAGAAGGGCAGCACATGCAGCATTCTGCCAGGGCACCGTTGAGCTCGGACAGTGAGGCCAGGGCTAGGCTCTCAATGGTCTCAGGCTCAGGCCTCAATCTTTAAGCTCAGGGAAGGGCCCAAAAGTAGTCCAGGCAGCTCAGTGGCACGTGCCACTTCGGCCCCGGGCACACCCTCTGCATAGGTGACTGCCCCTAGGATACTCAGTCCCTGCCCATTCTGCCCTGCCGTCAGCTCACCTCCACCATCCCTTGCCCCAGTGGGCATCCTCCTTCTGCCTCAAAGAACAGCCCTGGCACCAGGGCCCCGAGCCCTCCAGCCCCTCAGCCACCCCTCTTCTTTCCACACCTGCCCTATTCACAAGCTGAATGGCCAAGCCAGGCAGGCAGAGAAGCAGAGCCCTAGCTCCAGGCCTCCTAGCTGAGGTGCCTGTGGGCCTTTGAGGACCTGAAGACCTCATCTCTGTGAGCCACACGTCTCGCCTGCAGAGCGGAGCTGTGCTTTCCCGCACAGTCAATGCAGTGTCGCAGCCCAGCAGGTCTGCTTGACTCCTGCTGTGCCGCTGGCTGCGTGTTGTGATCTGGAGGGAGCCACATCGCCGGAGGGAGCCTCATCACCAGCGGGAGCCTTGGTGTTCTCATCTGGAAAATGGGAGTGGGGAGAGGAGGGCCTGCCTGTGGAGCACAGCGCAGCTCCGTTGCCCACGGAGGGAGGAATGCAGACGCAGCGGTGCTGAGCAGGGCCCGGCCCTAAGGCCGGATGGAGGGGTGAGGAGGGTGCCTGCGGAAGAAGGATGCACAGCTGGGCACAGGGGAAGAGAGAACTTGGCCGGGAGGGGCTCCGAGGAATGAGTGTGTCTGAGGAGAGTGTGGGGTCAGGCACAGGGAGTGTGGAGGGTGAGAAGTGGACACCACAGCCTGCTCCCAGGCGGAGCAGCGGCTCAGGGCCTGCTCCCCGTTTCACTCTGCACGAGCCGCCCTCGGAGGCAAGGCTCTCACTTCTCAGCCTGCACTCTGAGCACCAAAGCTGCTTGCTAGGCAGCCGGCTGGCCCAGCGGCTTCTCTATAGTGCACACGTATGCGTGTGTGTGTGTGCCTCTCGTGTGCACAGGTGCGTGCGTGCATGTAATTGTGTGTGCGCGCCCGTAGTGGAGGGGAGCTCCCCAGCAGAAGCGCCTCTGACATGTCGCCCTCACAGGAGCAGAGGCCTCAGGACACCCGCCAACATGTTCATCATCAACCTCGCCGTCAGCGACTTCCTCATGTGCTTCACCCAGGCCCCCGTGGTCTTCGCCAGCAGCCTCTACAAGCGGTGGCTCTTCGGAGAGGCAGGTGGGCACGCGGGCTCCTTCAGCGGGAGGGGGAGGCTGTGGCCAGGGTTCCCAGGGCAGGGTGCCCCGGTGAGGAGGGGACTTCCTCTTTCTTGGCAGAGTGACTAGCTGCCCTCAGTTAGCAACAGGGAAGGCTCAGGCTCCAGTCCTGAGACCTCCGCCAGCCTCCGCCAGTGCTGCAGGGAGGCAGGGCGGAGAGGGCTCAGCCTGCACTGCTTGAGAGGTGAGGACAGGAGCCAAGCACCTCTGCCCCAGACCCTCACTCCCCTGCTTCTGCTGGGCTCCCTGCCCAGGCTGAGTCGGAGCTGTGTCCACAGGCTGTGAGTTCTATGCCTTCTGTGGGGCTCTCTTTGGCATCACCTCCATGATCACCCTGACGGCCATTGCCCTGGACCGCTACCTGGTGATCACGCGCCCGCTGGCCATCGGGGTGGTGTCCAAAAGGCGGGCGGCGCTCGTCCTGCTGGGCGTCTGGCTCTACGCCCTGGCCTGGAGTCTTCCGCCCTTCTTTGGCTGGAGTAAGTGGGCTGTGGGAACCGGGGTGGGGGGAGGTAGTCTGGGAGGGCGTATTCAAGGGCAGGTCGGTGGAGTTGGGTTGGCCAGCCGGCAGAAAGGGTCCAGGCGGCTTCCTGAGCCTCAAGGCAGATGAGCCTCAGGAGGCCTGACTAACAGCAGGGAAACTGGGGCTGCATCACAGCTATCAAAGATGACCTGGGCTCCCATCCCTGGGCACGGAGGAGCCCATGTGGTTCCTGGGTGCGAGGAGGGAAGCTGAGTTGGCAGTGAGTCAGACAGGCAGGGCTGGGTGTGAGGCCTCAGCGGCAGGAGGGTTAGCAGCAAAGGCAATGGCCTTTCCGGGGCATGACCAGAAAGCGGGCTGAAGCCGGGAGGAGTAGGACCCTGGGGCTCTGGTGAGGCCTCTGCTCCACTGGCAAGGATGGGCAGCCGTGGGCTTTGCCAGTTGGCTCTCACTGCACTGGGCCGGCTGGGCTGCGGCCAATGTTCCGGGACCCCAGGCTCCACATCCAAAGCCCCTGCTTGGTGGGGAGCCTGCATCAGCACTGCCCAGATGCTGAGCTGCCTGCCCGGCCTCCCAGGTGCCTATGTGCCCGAGGGCCTGCTGACCTCCTGCTCCTGGGACTACATGAGCTTCACGCCAGCGGTCCGCGCCTACACCATGCTGCTCTTCTGCTTCGTGTTCTTCCTCCCCCTGCTTGTCATCATCTACTGCTACGTCTTCATCTTTAGGGCCATTCGGGAGACAGGCCAGTAAGAGCTGGGCTTGGAGGAGGGGTTGGAGGGGAGGGGGCCATGCTCCTTCGCTAGAGGCTCCCATCTGCACCCACCCCTGGGGCACCCAGCTCCAGATTGGCAAAGACAAGCTGAACACCGGTGCTTGTGGGGCAGGTGCCTAGAGACCAGCACAGCCTGATGCCCAGAGAAGTCTCAGGAGATGGGGACTTCTGAGGGGGGCTATTAGGCATGTCAGGAGGTCTGGGGGCAGGGGGCGGGGAGCAGAGAAGACACCGCAGGTGGAACCCAAGGAGGCAGCTTAGCTGGATGCAATGGAGAACTTTTGGGGTGTCAGGGCTGCCTGCACAGGCCAGGACCCTGGCACCCACTGCAACCCAAGTGGGGTCAGACCCGGACTCTGCATCCTTCCCAGGGCTCTCCAGACTTTCGGAGCCTGTGAGGGCCACAGTGAATTGCCCCGGCAACGGCAGGGGCTGCAGAATGAGTGGAAAATGGCCAAGATTGTGCTGCTGGTCATTCTTCTCTTCGTGCTCTCCTGGGCCCCCTACTCCACTGTGGCCCTGATGGCCTTTGCTGGGTGAGCAACAGCGAAGGGCTGCGGGGCGTGAAGGGGTGAGGGGATGAAGGGGCTCTGGGGCAGGTTCTCCCTCCCTAGCGCAAGCGCAAGCCAGCTGTGCTTACCCTGGAAGTCTGCCCCAGCCTTCTCCCCTGCCGTGAGATGCTCCCCTGCTGGGCCTGCCTGGTTCCTGGAGGCGCTGGGACATGCTGGGTTGGGCCTGAGTGCCTGTGAGGGCTGCGGGTGCTGCAGGAGCCCTGGAATCCATGGCTCTCCCTGAGGCGCTGGGTCCTTCTCCACCTGGCACACAGCCAGGGCTCCTGCTCCTCTCCTGCCCTTATGGCAAGAGTCGGGGGGACTCTGACATTTGCAGCAGTGTGGACTCAGGCCAGACTTCAGAAGCACTTGGAGGCAGAGAGAGCTCTGAACCCTGGGAAGTGGTGGGTGTGTGATCTCCGTGGACGTGGACCTCCTGTGAAGTCACTCTCTGAGCCAGGACGGCTGTGGGCATCAGGGCTGGGTGCGGTGTGGGAAGAGCTGAGCAGAGACCAGCGTCACTGGGGGTGAAGAGGGTTTATTGCTGGCAGCACAGGCTCCAAGGGACAGTGAACCGCCCCCCTGGCACAGCTTCCTCCCAGACGCCCTCTCACTGCTCTCCGGGTGCCCCTCACCTCAGATCAGAACTTGCCCTGGCATTGCAGTCCCACCCCTGGGACTGACTGGGCCCAGCTGGTTTGGGCCGGGCTGGGCTGTGCCTAGGGCCTGGC